CACTGGTTATTTCAAGAGTTGGGGTGGTGATGGACTAAGCTAGGTGTGACCTAGGAACCTGCCATCAATCACAGGTAAAGGAACCCCCAATAGTCTGGACTAGTCAGGGCAGCAGCACCCAATTGTGCATCCTGATTAGGGTCTGGGGTGGGCCGGGCTGCAACGTTCACCAGCTCATACAAGGCCAAATGGAAGGCGAGACTGTGTCGGGGACTGGCCTAAACCCAATGGCATGTATGAGAATTGGGTCTGGGAATGGATTAAGTGGAAGAACTTGGGAAACTCCCTTGGAGAGTCATACCTCCCGCTGGTGAACATGTGGTCCAGACCTGGGGGTCGGACAAGCTGGGAAAAGTAGCTCCAACAGCTGGCTAATGTATCAACTGGTAATGGAACAGAGTAGATCAGGCAGGACTGAGCAAACCTTAGCTCACAAGCAAAACTAGAAACCAGGAGGGAGCACAGGTCATGCCGAGCTAGGCTCTTATACCTACTGGTCTGCATGAGCCAGGGACACTAAGCCACAGTGTCTAAGGCAGAGGTCGGGACAGGTGAGGGGCTGTGCCAAGCTGAGTCAGAGTAACCACTGGCATGCATGTGATCTATGGCTGGGAACAGGCCCGGTTGGGGAGCTAAGGGGACAACCCTAGCTGGGTTGAAGTTGCTGCCAAGGGGCATGTGACCTGGAATGGGGGCTGCATTCTGATCTGGAAACGGTTGTAGTCTTCCTTGGCACAAGTGTGGACTGGGATTGGATGCACCGAACCAGGCCAGACCCCAATAACCCCTGGTGTCCTGGAGGACCAGGGCAGATGTGCGATGGACTAGGCAAGGTCTCAAACCCCTACTGAGCCATGTGTGAGCCATATGTGGGTATGGACAAACCATGGCTGGGCTGGAACATCCAACAGCAAGAACCAGATTGGGTTGAGGGCCAGTCAGGAAAAGCCACAGTTTCTGCTATGACAGGAGGTGGACTGAGTAGGGCTGGCTCATGGACCCACTGGTAAGTGTGAAACCTGGCATTGGGAGAGGTTCTGATGGAGGAGCCTGGGCAACTCCTCTGGCAGGACACAGACCCGGCAGGTAAGTGCAAGAAACATGATAGGAAACAGCCCAGAACAGGCCATGGAAAGTTACCCAATGGCATACAATTGGCAGGGGTCGGGGGAAGACCAGGCTGAATCTGTCCACGTCATCCACTGGCAAATCCAAGCACCAGTGTGGGTCGAGCCAGGTTCGGTCGCAGCAAAGACTAGTGCACAATACGGAATGCCAAGGTGAGGTTGCCTGTACCAGAAGGGACCACAGCGCCCAACCAGCGTGAGAACAAGGAAGGAGGGGGCAGAGCCGGCAGGGGAATAAGGGAGGGTTCCTTTGCTAGACAGCTACTCCCGCAGGAGAGAGTAGGCTAGGATGGGGGCAGACCAGTCCAAGCAGGGCTACAACACCTGTGCGCCTTATGTGGACTAGATCAGGGAAAAGCCGGGCTGATTATTTCTATTGGTGCAAACAAAATTAGAGTGGGTGAGGGTTGTTTGGGCTTAGCCACAGCATCAGCTGGCAGAAGCTGGCACTGGGGGCTAGTTCTGTCAAGTCAAACAAACCACAGAACTATCTAGGAGTGGGAATGGCCTGGGAGGGAAATAGTGGGCTCCTCCCTCTTGGGTTACCACTTCCACAGGAGGACATAAAACTAAGACAGCGGCTGGGGTGGAATGGGGTGTGGGACAGCCTGGACCACTGCTACACATACTGGCAAACCAGAGTAGGGGGCGGGCCTGGTGGGGGTTATTGCAGGTCGCTCTGACTAGGCTGCAGCTCCCACTGGTTTATGTGAGGGCCAAGTATGTGCTGGGCAGAACCAGGCTGGACTGCAACACCCATTGTTTCCAGTGGAAGTAGGGAGTGAAAACAGAACCAACCCAGCAATTACAACCACCAGCTGATCAAGGCGATGGACTGTGTCGGGCCCTGTATTTGCTAGCACATACAAGAATCTGGTTTGACAACACCTCAGACAAAGTTTCTTTGGAGATCTTCCTAATCTAAATGCTGGACTCAGAACCCTAACCAAGAAAAGAGAGAAGACAGAACAGGTCAACCAACCATCTCAGCTATGATGGACTATGTCAATCAGTGGATTTTTCAAAGACCTCATAGTGCTTGGAGTGGCAAGATTGGCAGCGATTTATAACTGTTGAAATATGAAAACCACATGAGCAAGATCCTCAGAGCATGCCCTATATTCGGGACCTGGGGAGGGTGGGAAATTGGGTGGGCCTTCTCCCTTAAGACCCCCCTTTAAACATGAAGGAAACAATATGGAAAAAATACTAGTCTTATCCACTTTCCTGTAGCCCTTGAACTTTTTTACCCTAATTATCTATGCAAAGATTGTCAAAATTAAAAAAAAAATTTAATAAAAAAACCCCATTAGGTTTGATTTCTGCCATGGTATGGAGTTAGCCATGCTAAGCCTTCTGCATATTCCAGCATTGAACAAATGAGTGAACATTCTGTGGCCCTCGGGGTCTCACTGTTGGAGAGGGAGTTTAATAAAAAAGAAAGAAGAATGGAAAGAAATTCATGGTAACTGACTGAAATTGGAAGAGTATGTAATTTCAGATGGGAAGATTTAATAGATATAGGAGTGGCCATATGACATACATTTCCATGCTCTGCCCAGAAGGCATGGAAGTGGCAACCCATCAGTAACTACAAACACAGTTGGCATCCAGATGTCAGTTTCCAAATTTCGTTCTCTGCCAGATGGAACCGGCAACCCCTGGAAGAACAGCAAGTTTTGGTTCTGAAAGTGGGAAAGTACAAGGTGAGCCTGGGGCCTCACATCAGGACTTGTTTAAATATGACAAGAACAGGTCAAAATGACCTGAGGGCTTCCTCTGACTACATCAGGGGCAATATGATCAGTGAAACAAATCATGAAGCAATGACCGAAGAAATGAATAAACTGCATATTGATGTTGACACTGACACAGATACATACATGCATAAACAAGCAGAGAAGAAGGGAGAAGTATTTATTTTTATGAGAATGCTAGCTAACAAACCTAGATAGAAACTGATTGAATTAGCAAAACACCACTTGCCAGCCATAACAGTAATCACTGATTCAGGGAAGAATGAATTATGGATGGATGCTTACGTGAATGGGGGCAAATATGATGAACGATGAGGAATTAGTACCGTTTTAAATGACTTCCTCACAAAACACAAAAGGAAAAATAGCATCTATAGAAAAATTATATAGACCACACAAGAAACAGGTCCAGCACACCACATGTGGCTACCACTGGGACCACAATATTCCTACTTTGGGGTTTCCTGCCAAAGTCCATATAACCTGAGGTAATCATGAAGAGACAGTATAGACATACTCGAGTTGAGTGAAGCTGAGTGAAGTGGCAGCTAGCCTCCAGGGATCCCTGCTCTCCTGCATCAGAAAGAGCTAATCAATGGAATACTCTTCAGATCAGAATATGAACTCTCAGACTAAGATTACAAAAGATAAGCAGTTTCTGCCTTTCCTGTACCGGAAGAAGCCAGCTGCCATGCACCATTCACATTCAACGGCAAGTTCCACTTGGTGGAGCCCTGTGGTTGAGCTGACTCTGACCATGTCCTCTGGCCCGGTCAACAGTTGAGATGACTGCAGTTCTGGGGGACATCCTGACCATGATCTCATGACATTTCTCAAGTCTAACCAAGCTGCTCTCACACTCCTGACCACAGAAGTGGTGTAAGATGACAGATGCTTCTTACTCTTGCCACTCAATTTAAGGTAGTTTGTGACGACGCAATAATTAACCCATTTAAAAGCTGTAACAGCATTAAGTCTCCACTTGTAGTGACAGGGGCACAGGTTTGAGTCCCAGCAGCTCTACTTCAGATTCAGCTCCCTGCTAATATTCTGGGAAAGCAGTGGAGGACCACTCCAAGTGCTTGGACACCTGTACCCAGCATGGGACACCCGGAAGGAGTCCAGGCTCCTCGTATCATATTGACACAGCTCCAGCCGTTGTAGCACTCTGGGGAATGAACCAAACGGATGGAAGATTCCTCTCTCTCCTTCTCTCTGTACTACACTTGATCTTAGCCAAAAGGCCGAGAAGCGATCTCCTTCTCTCTGTAAATCTACCTTTCAAGTAAAAAGAAACCCTTAAAGAAAAGTCATTCTACAAAAATGTTCTTTTCAAAACTGCCCAAGATTAAAGAAGAAAAAACAGAAACTGCGATCAAATGGGACACATGTCCTTGGAATGATTCTGAAGTCACACACACACAAACACACACACAAATTGGCTTTTGTTGTTCTTTTAATACAGTGAAGTATATTGAGTTGAATATTGACATTTAAATAAGCCTATAGCTTATAAAAATAGCCCTGGATCAATTACATCATAGATGAGGACGAGCATTCCACGTTTGTAGCAAATACATGCTGAAGCATTTGGTGGAGACATAAATGTCAAAATAACAATTATAGAATTATAATCAAAGGTGTGTATAGCTGCCTGTGTATATCTTCATATCTAGAAAGAGGGAAAAGAGCAGTAAGAAACTTATGGCAAAACGCTAACATTTGGAGACTGAATGGCAGGTTCATGGGAATTTTTCTTGTGGTCCTGGAATTCGCCTGAGGTCTCCAAGGTAAAAACAGCATGCAGCACGAAGGGCTGCTAGCCCACAATTCCACGGGAAGTAAACCTCACCTGTTCTCTCAAGCCACAAGTTGCGCTCACTAATGGATGAGGACAAAACCCAAGAGTGGGTAGCATTACATAACACAGCATGGCAACACTGCAGACTGAGAAGAATGAACGCTATTGTGTGAAACTTTTGTTTCAGTTCTAGAAAGAAAAAAAAAGTTTGCATACAGCGCGGCGCTCTCCAAACTGGAAAGCCACTGCTCTTAAGTTGAATTTGAGCCAGATGAACCGAGGCTTCCCGCCCGCCACGGGGCTGGGGCGCCCCTCCTGCCACTTCCACCTTTGCGGGGGCTCTGACGCCCGCCTCCAGATCACCTGCAGGTGTGAGCGCAAACCTAGCACACGTGCCAGACGCTATTTAAGGGTCCGCCTGTCAGTGGCGGCTCGTAATTGCCGGCTGCTCCACTCAGTGTCCGCCAGCTGTCTCAGGCTCGCGGGTCCCAGAACGCCTCCGGCAAAAAGGCATGGGCGCCAGGATTCCGCTCTGTTTTTTCTGGGCTGTCGTCGTTCAGGGGGTCTTCGGTGTCTTGGAAGGTAGGGACGCGCCTCGGGCGGGAAAGGGCTGTGTGCCACGATGGGTAGCAGAGAACCTTAAGCGAGATATGGGGTGGAGTGTGAGGAGCAGAGAGAAGGAGGAGGGGGAGTGCCGGGCGGATAGGCTGCGATTTCCAGGGACTGAACTCTCTGCTTTGGGGACTCGCTGCTCTGCCAGTGAGACAGCCAGAATTAAGAGACTACACAGAGCACCCTGTGTGGATCGCCCAGAGAGTCCGGTGGGTGGTGAGCTAGCTCACTCCTGTGTGTGCCCTTGGCTCCCTGGGTGCCGCAGGTGCACTAGTGTAGCGCGGTGGAACCGAAACCCAGACAGACTGAGTGCGAAGATAGCTCTGCTTTCTTCCACAAGGAAGGTGGTGTTCAAGTACAGTTCTTAGAGTTTTTGTTCTGTTTTGTGTGGAAGTTTGATGTGACAATTGGAAAGGGCACCTAAACGTTAGACTTTCAGAATTACTTTTGAGAAACTGAGACGTGAATTTTAACTGTGGTTAACTTAGTGTTAGGTAAACCTCGGGCAATGGTGTGGGTCTCAGGACCTGCGGCCGCCGCCGCTGCTGCTGCTGCTGCTGCTGCTGCTGCTGCTGCTTCTTATTCCTTCTCCTCCTCCTTCTTCTTTTTTCTCCGCCCCCAGATTGGATTAATTTTAAAGTTTTCTAACTTGTTCAGATTGGTATCTCTAGGCTGTCAGATGGGGCTGGGTTGGTATCCACACAGCACAGTGAATTCCCGGTTTATAAGTAGCTGGGTGATGTGGGGGCAAGTCACTTAGTCCCTGGTCTTTGACATTAAAATGAAACCAAAGGTGCACTGCCTTGCCCCTTTCAGAGGTGCCCAGAAAATGGAGTGTTGGTTACTACCACAGCTCAGTCTAAGTTTTTCACAAATCCAGTGTCTAGGTGACCATCTGACAACTTGTCAAGGCATCTGCGCTATTGCTAGTACAGGCTCTGTTACAATGCATCTATCTGTTGTTGGCCCTTAATTGAGCGTTTCCCTCCAGTCATTTTCTTCATTTTTCCATTTCCTACCTGCTGACTCTCTTAGTAGCAATGTTCATCCACCACTTCCTGTCCCACACCTGGATTCTCCCAGCACTGCATCCCTGCAGCTAAGCTGCAGAGAGGATGTTATCAGAGAGGATAGAAAACACATTCCTCCCTGCCCAGCCAACTCATCATCCTCTCCAAGTCCACACAAAGCACTGGAGCTGGGACATTGTCCAAGCCCCTGCACTCCACACACCGACTGAGGACCGACTGCTCAAACTGACATGCTGCACTGCTCCTTTTATCCTTCCTATGCAATATCCTAGCCCCAAGCATTGTAAGTAGCCATTAACTGTCCCCTTTCCCAGGTTGCCTAGCTACCATTGTCCAACCTTTCTAATCAATAAAAAAATTATATATATATATATGTGTGTGTTTATGCATAAATACATAGTCTTTAGTCCGCATCCTTGCTCATAAGCCTAAACTGGCCCCCTGTTACCTGTGTGAGAAACTCCCTGCTCTTCAGCCTGTGAGGCCTCTGTGACTGGATCTCATCTAAGCCTGCCCAGCCCCCACTCCCTTCTGTGCATGTGATGCTCATCCTCTGACCCCCTTGTCACCCTGTTTTTCATGCATGGCCCACCAGCCCTTGCTTCCTTTTCCTGCTGCTATGCACCTTCCGCATGTCACTGCATGGCTGCGGACCAATTCCTGTACAGCATGGCCCAGGGAGTGCAAGCTAGCCCTCTAGAAGATCCTGAAGGAAGTATTTTTGCTGCGCATGGCTAGAAGCAAGGCCAGGAGGATACAAATGGCTTTGGGAGAGTGTTTTTCCTATCTTTTGTTTTTGTCTGTTTACAAAAATGGATTCAGATTTCCCAAACTCTTTTATTTCTTCATGTCTTTGCCAACAACCTAGCTTTATTGTATACCAAGAAACAAACCCATAGAATAGGAAAACCTTCATTTTCCAACTGGTTGCTCTACAAATCCTCCTCCATGTGGAATCAGATCCCTCTCAGCCTGTATAAACCTGCCCAGGTCTCCCCGTCATGCCCAAGTGAGTTCCATTCTTCCTCCGTGACTGTATCTATCTCTGGAGTTCTCTGTGTGCCCCTCATTCCCCCTGCTGCAGCTGCTCTGGCATAGCGTGTCAGCATGTCGTCTGTACCATGGAGCCTCCTCTCATGGGGAGTTCTTCCGGCATAGGGTGCCTTGCCTGGCCCCTTCTCGATGTTCAATTCTCAGCTCACCATTACCCTTCTCTGACTGCATCCTAAGTAGTCTGTATCTCAAATCGCTATGCCACACATCACCCTGTTCTCCACTGAGTGTCTATCACCATCTGAAACATCCTTATTTATTTACCTACCTTGTTCCCTTGCTGGAAGATATGTTCCATGACAGCAGGCTCTGTCCGTCTTATTGTCTCGTCTGAATCTTGAGCACTAAATTCGGGAACAACTGGCTGAATGACTGCTTTCTTCCTTTCTGTAGCAATGGATGACATATCCTTTCCCTTGCAAGGTGACTCCTCTGCCTGTGTTCAGGGGCATCCCTCCTGCCTTTGCAAGGACTTAACCCCTGTGTTGCCTCAGTCATTTTGTCCTCTCTGTTGGCTCAATCCCATCAGCATTTAACTACGACCCAGAGCATCCTTAGTCAGGGAAAGAGGACTTCTCACACCCAGTAGTATACTACTCTCCCGTATCCCATCCTTCTCAGCAAAACTTTTCAATTACTTGCTCTTGGTACCTTATTTCCTTAACCTACTTCAAACAAGCTTCAGTCCCCTGAAATCACTATTGGCAAGGTCACTACTGACCTTCTTGCTGATAAATCCAGTGGTCATTTCTGTCTTTGTCTCAATCTTTGAGTGAAAGTGGGGTACTTCTTCAGTATTGAAACAGTTTCATTCTCATTTTCCAAAACAGGACACTCATGTCTGTTTTTTTTTTTCTAAACCCACCCTGGTTCTGTGTCTCTTTTGCCTGTATGTTGGAGATCCTGAAGTTTAGCCCTGGGCCTCTGCCTGTTTGGATTTCGTCTGAACTCATGCCTTCCTATACGATGATATGTTGATGACTTATTATCTGTAGCACTGACCTCTCTCATGAACTGCAGATTTGTACATCAGATGCCTACTGGAAATCTGCATTTAGATGCCCAGTGAGTATGTTACATATACCCAATCTGAAATAAAACTGAGTCTGCACACGTGCCTCTTCCCCTATAACCTGTATACATGTGTGTGCAGCTTATTCCTTTTCTGGACTTTTCCATCTCAGTCCATGCTATTCACATCAAACAGGTAGTTCAAGTTAGACTCCTAGAAAATCTCCCCCTTTTCTTACCCCATATCAAAGACAGCAGAATATCATGCTAATTTTAATTCTAAAATGTTTTATGTTTTCCAAAAGCATTCATTTCTCTAATCGCCTCATTTTGTTTTTACTTGAATTTCACTCTAACCCATTCTCCCTGCAGTTGCCAGAAGAGTCTTTTAAGGATGTAAATTGAATCCTATGACTTTCCTCCTTGACTCCACCATGTTCTCAGTTCAGGATAATACCCTGCATCTTACTATGACGCAGGAAAGCCTACCTGATTTCAGCTGCCAAAGTTTCTTGATCTTGAACTGCTCAGTTTTGTCTACTATGCTCCAGCCATCCTCACCCTCTATCCATCCATAAAGCATGCCAGAACATTCCTTCTAAGAGAATTCCGTCTAAAACGTTTTATCTATTGGTTTGCCTGGCTGGTTCCCTCTTATCCTACAGTTACAACTCAAATGTCACCTCTCAGGCCATCCTGAACCATTATAACCGAAGTTGCCTGCTATGCTGTTTCCTCCTGCAGATCCTTCTGTTTATGTGACTAACAGCGCTGTTTAGTTGATATCCTAGTTATTTATTGATGGTTTGTCTTCCTCTATTGGAACATAAGTGCTCTGAGGGCAGGAAGCTGGTCTCTGAGGACCATTGAGGCATCTCCTATGCTCAGAACCATGCCTTGGTTAATGTGCATAACTGTCACTCAAATTTGTTTACCAACTAGCCAGGAAATCCAGTATTATGGTATTTGATTATCATTCTTAATAGTTACTTCCCTTCTTATCTGCCTTTTGGTCACCTTTTTTGGTTTTATGTTTATTACCATACATATCTATCCTTCATTTCAAAGTAATTTCTAAGCTGTTCAGGAAAATATCTATTGGAAACAAACTGAGTCTGCTGCTCTGCCAAGTTAGTTTTTCACTATGGTTTGAAGGGTGTATGTGATGTCTTGCCATCGTCTTCTATTTAAACCAAGTCAGGAGACACTATGATTGTTACTTCTGGTTTAGGAAGACGAAAGGAGCTTGCAGTGACCCACAAGAAAGCACTATATCACTTAGTGGATTGACCTTTTCTTGGCTGATAAGATAAAAAAAAATGGTCTCCAAAAATTTCGTGAGCAGCAGTTTTGGAAGCCTCATTACCAGCAAGGGCAAGTGTCACCAAAAAACAAAACAAAACAAACAAACAAAAAAAACACATCTATTTTCCAAATCTCCTAATTGGAGATGACACGCTCACTCAGTATATCTTGTCTGCTCCTGTCATGAAAAGTCATATGTGGTGCATTCTGCCTTTGCTGTTTCTAGGTCTCAGTCTGTGTCACTGCTTCTGATTAGATCATGTGAATTGAAAGTGTTTTGCCAAAATTTGGAGGATCATTTGGTATTGATCTAATTTGCATTTTATACTTATTGGTTCATCTACTTTTTAAAAAGATTTATTTATTTGTAAACCAGAATTACAGAAAGAAATACAGGGCCGAGTGTGGTAGCCTATTGGCTGAAGTTCTTGCCTTGCATGTGCTGGGATTCGATATGGGCACTGGTTCATGTCCCAACTGCTCCACTTCCCTTCCAGCTCCCTGTTTGTGACTTGGAAAAGCAATGGAGGATGTCTCAAAGCCTTAGGATCCTGCGCCTGTGTGGGAGAC